TCAAAATTCCTTCGTTTGTGTGCCTGTGAAGCAGTGCAAAGCATGTCTCGATGCGTACTTCGCGTTGGCGATCATTAAGTTCGTGGGGCGCCCATTTGTTAAACTTTTTTACCTTGCTAATTTGACGCAAATGGACCAATATTGTTTTGATGTTAACGTGGAAAGCTGATGCTAATTCAACCGTACATTAAGTATCATCAGCTTCCAGAATCACTTTAATTTGTCATTGTCTTTTAATTTGATCAAAGTTTTCGGTCGATCACGGAGTTAATTTTTCAGGTCGAAATTTCCAGAACGGAAGCGGGCAAACCAATAACAGACGGTGCGTTAGTTTGTAGTATTCGCTCTGTAAACGTCGTTGACGTTGCGTGCCGTTGTGCCGCGTTGCTGCCACGACGGTACTCATTTTCCATAATTACTCGAATTTTTAACGTATCCATGATGACGAAAAAGACAAAAACATAACGGCTATCAATAAACAAATTACTAATTTTGGAAAAACGAGTTTCGAATTTGATATTAGAATTTAGCCAAACAAAAATTATTTTGATTTGAACTGGCCAGTACTGCAGAACGGCAATTTCATAGTTAAAGACCTATTATTTGGACAGGTTTCCGGACTTTTGTAACTATTCCGATTACGGTGGCGAAAGATGAACGCAGTTTTAGCAAGCTTAAGCTAAGTAAGACATAGCAGAGGTCGACTCTCGCAGAAGATAAGCTTTCTGATCTAGCCTTGCTGTCAATTGAAAATGATATAGCTCAGACATTATCATATGAGGAGGTCATATAAAAAATTATAAATGCAAAAGTGCGTACGCAGCGATTTGATTAAAATTTGTTCTCCATTTAAAATTTGTTCCATTTAGTGTTTTAAGGACATACAGGTGTACTAATTGCTATTGTTATGCAATTTTTTTAATTTTTCCGACATTCAATGGATTAATTATATTATTATTAGGAGCCAGTAGGCTAAACCTGAAGAGTTTGATTTTAATAAGCACTGTTACATTAATTAGTAAACATATAACATAACGTATAAGTACCAGATCTAAAGTTGATTATGTTTGTTGATCTCATTAATGAATATTGACTTAATTTTGTTTTTTCATTTTACATCAATGGTTCCTATAGATACCGTAAGGAGTGCAGTGCCTTAAATACCACAAGCATGGCTGTTTTCAATCGACAAATTAGACATAGACTTAAGATGTTGTCTTCCCAGTTTCATACTTGCATGTGCACGTACAACTGGTATATATTAGGGGCAAGCAAGGGGTGTGCCATAATTGGGTCTCGCTCCATCCTAAAACTTGCCTCAGGCCGGCACTGCATAGGAACATCGATAGGCAGGCGAATTGGCTTTTGCAGTAACTCTTTAGATCTTTGTCGCTGCTCCTCGTCACCGATTTGGGTATATTATATCTGGCAAAAACAAGATAAGCTGCCACCTATCGGAGGTTGTTCTGGCCGTTATAATAATTGCCCCCGGAGAAATTTTCTCGAAACGAAATGAGGAAATTAGTTATCTGAAATTATCACCTCAACAAGAGTTTTTGTATATTTGAACAAGTATTTGTATGGCCTAAAAATAATTTCCGGGTCTGGATGTTTGTCCTTGTGCAATTTATGTTTGTAAACTGCCTCCATAATACAGGAGAAAATCCTAATATGGGGTAACGTTTTTAAACTTAATTAAACTATTTACTTGTATTAATGGTGTGAACGGATTGCAAATATGAGAACCAGTTTTTACCGATTACTTTGAGTAAAAAACCGGTTTTTAAGATATTTTTAGGTCTTTTCTTACCTTTATAAAAGAAAGAACAATACGTCAAAATAACTTCTACCATTATTAAAATCTACTTTATTAAAATCAAAATATTTTATACATAAAAACTGAACTAAGTCGTAATTTTGATTAAGAAAACGGATGTGATCGACAGCATCCGCTTGCAACCTGCTTCGTCTGGATCACAGACGTTGCTGGCACCGTTAAATATTTTAGCGCTAAAACGTTCAATGGTACTAAATGTTTGTTCTTGCTACAAAAAGTGCCAGCACTTTCAGCCGTTTTTGCAGTTTCAGCTTCAACATGCTCGGGCTCTGTCTCCAAATACATGCGCATTAAGTTAACTGCGGACGCAGTTGGATGGACAATGGGTTTTCTTTATTTCAAAAAGTCCAAGAGTCCAGGTTTTTTCTGTTCTATGTTTGTCTCCACTGATCTTTGAACTGCTTGTGCTGAAGTCGTAGAATTTTTTTTTTTGCAGAATTATTATATTATACATTTCTGCAGAATTAGAACCAATATTACGGTTACAGAATCTTTTATTAAATGAGATAGTTATTTTCTTACTATTTCTTTTACAGATAACATATTTTCCGAGCCTCTAAAAGCAGACCTTAATACCGGATGTAATTATGTTGACATTTGCGTGACAATTCTTGTCTCGTATACTAAAAGCCTGCTGCTCATATTTCACCTTACTGATGAGCAAAACATTTTGCCTATATCTGTCTCCAGAGTATTTTCAATGGTGGTCAAATTCTCATACAATCCACAAATTACTGGTATGATTAATGAACTGGTCGGATATGTATCAGCACTAACAAGCTTTGTAGCCTGTTCGAATATTTCCAAAAACTTTATTATTTCTTTGCCCACTTTTTCTTCACAGGCGGTTAAGTAGTCTGGTGCCAGATTAGTACAAATGCCAGAACATCAGATAATTGAAGAATTCTAGACACCATTTTCTAGATACTTCTTGTATCAACTTTAAAGGAGTAGTATTGGGATTTATTTCCTTCTGTTCTGCTTTTAGCGCGCGCCTCCCTACAGACGACTTTTTAAAAAACTTTACAATAGCCTTACATTTGTTAATAATTTCCAAAATCTCAAGAAGCTCTAAAGAATCATAAACAGTTAGATTAAGCGTATGCGCAAAACAAGGCATGTGGCGTATGTTTAGCAATTCGCACATTTTGATCATGTTAGTAACGTTATCTGTGACAATGGTTGTAATTTTGCCAGTTAGTTTCCATTCTGTTAGTAAGTTAGTAACAATTTCGGCAAGATTTTCAGCTGTATGTGCAGTGGGGACATCTGAGGTAGTCAAGACATAGCTTTTTAAACCACCTTTCAGAGAAAAATGAACTGTGACCGTAATAAAGGAGTCCATATTTTGGTTAGATCACAAATCAGCAGTTAGTGCAGCATGCTTAACATTATCAAGTGCAATAACAAGTTTTACCTTTGCATTTTGGTACTGTTGCGGCATTCATTCGTACCTGATTTTTGTCTACTTGGCAATTTGTAGTTTGGGTTCAAAACTTCTGTGAACCTCTTAAATCGTCTGTCTTCAACAATCGAAAAGGGCTGGAAGTCCGTAGCGATCATCATGGTTAAATGTTTGTCAATATTTTTCTTATTATTGACCAAGGTCACTTTCAATGTAGTTTGGAGAAGAAGAGTTTTTAATGTGTTCATAGATTGTTCTTGCTTAGTTTGTCCTACAGCGGATATGTTACTGAGCTGTTGTTGGGCACCTACAACATTCCCCTGCATTTCCACTGTAGTCTGCGAATGGTGTCTTTTTAAATGAGCCAACATATTAAAAGTTCCACCACCAGCCTTAATTATTTTTTCGCTTAGTTTACATTTGGCAGTATTATTATCAACTTTTTCGAAATGGTTCCGTTCATGGATTTTCGTTTTATCTTCGGCATCCTGCAATACAATAAAATGCAATTCATTGATAAAAAAATCAGCTAATTTATTTAAATTATTATAAACAAAAAGATTTTCTATTTAACGAGGTATTAAGTAGTAATTAATTACTTACCTATCGATGATTTCCTCCAAAACGTTTACTTAACCTGATAACAAACTAAATCTTTTTGAAGAAACGCAAGAGAAATAACGATATATTTCACACACGCAAAATAATGACTGAACAGGCTGAAGTTTATCAACAGTGTTGCCTAATGGCTGAAACAGCGTGGTGATTCCCCAATCAAATACAATATAAACTTGTTTTGACTCTTTCTATGTCTATGGTCTGACTTTGGTGATCGGATTAGCTTATGGAGTGTAGAGTAGAAGGAGGACCATCTCTATATATGAAAAGTGTCCCTAAAAACGTGTCCAATAAGGGTGGCGCTGCAGTAGCATAGGATAAATAAAAAAAAAGCGCCAAAAGTAATTGCAATAAGTCGGAGAAATAAACAAGGACCGATCAATCCACTTAGTTTTGTACTACGTAAATAGTTGAGATATTGTATACTGGCATTTTACTAACTACTCTAGTCATGAAATTTTTTAAATATTTGAATTCAGCTGACTTCACTCCGTTCACAACAGCTATCTTCATATCGTAGTTTTTCAGACACCAGCGCTATTGTGGTAGGTTTTGAAACCTCTATTTTCAGTAAATAGTCAACACTTTTTCAATTTTCGCCCCTTACAAGATAGTTCTCCTCACAAACTAGTAAGAAGTGGTTCTCCTTGTACTCTACACTCCATAGATTAATTTGCTACATGTTTATTTGTCTATGGTTCGGAAACACGAATAATCACTAGCACTAGCACTGCGCTGCTAGCACTTCTGACTAGTTTGTGCGAATAATGAAAGACCAGTGAGGCCAAAGTAATCGGTTTTAGTAAAAAGAAACCGGTGTTTACCGGTTATTAAAAACCGTTTTTTTTTTCTAAAACCGCTTCCCATCACTAACTTGTATTTATCTAAGGGTATTAGTGTTCTGTGGTATTTATGCACTACTTTCAGTTTTGAATTTATTATTTGTTCAATTTACAATTTATTGAATTGAAATTAAATTTTTATAGGAATAAAACACAAATTAAGAAGTTATGTATTTGTAAAATTAATATTTTCTAACGTGTTTTAGTAGTTTTTAGCATAATATAATATAGTAAATTATTTTAAGTTTTTAATAATAGTCGTTGAGTAATATTCTTGAATAATTACATTGTGTTTTCAATGGAATTAGAAGATGGTTTTGATGATTTGTTAGCTGAAATCGAAGAACCCACTTCTCCTAAAAGGCCTAAGACAGAACAGGATGATTTAATACGCGAAATACCCGGTATAATATGAATTTGGAAATATTGTTGAATTATTAAACTCACATGCAGGAAGTCGATGGATGCAGATTGCTCTGGACCTTGTTTTTGGCATTTTGGGGGAGGCCTATGTTCAGCAGTGGATTTGTGAAGGGCTGTAATGATGATGACGATGATACGAAATACCATTTCAAGGAATTAATTTTATATTGAAAAAAAATCCTGCTGGGGTTCTTGCTGGTTCCCAGGACAGAAGCTATTTCCTTAATCAGTGGTAAATAAATAATTGCTATTTTATAAGTATATGTAAGGTCCACAGAAAGGGGAATAAGCAGGCCGGTCAGAATGGCGGGGTAGAAAGGTTCTTGAGTGACAGCCTCAGGTACTGGTAAGCAGAGTGTAGTGCAGCCCCCCTCTAGTTGGAGTGACAACTTGTGGATGCCGGTGGCTTAAGACTGTGTTTTGTGGTATTCTTTGGTAGAGACCTTTTTCAGCAGTGGACTTGTGGATAGGCTGTAATGATGATAGTGATTAAGTATTATATTATAATAATTAATAATCTATATTGAATAATAAATATTCTATTCTATTCTGTTTTATTATAACAATTATTATTTTTATTTTTAAGAGGTACATATGAAATACCAATTTTCATATAGGTTTTTTATTTAAAAAACAAATAATGTTAATTTATAAAATTATCTAAATTCCAACTTTTCACAACAACCTTTATTTCAGTAATGTTCTAGCTTAACCAGCACTTAAATACCAACTTCTTATTTTAGGTTTTACAGGCTACATATCTTAACATAAAGCTTGTAAAAAAACTTCAAAAGGGAAAGTTATCAATTTAACTTTGTTTTTTCTTCTTGGTGTATTTTAAAGTTTAGGACTTCAAAAGCATTAATTACTTCAATCTTACCAGTATTCATTAAATCTTTTCAGTTCCTGCTTGTCACATCAATTTTGATAATACTGTTGGTAGCGAAGCCAAAATCAGACTCAGAACAATATTTTAACAGCATTTGTTGTAAATGTACTTCTGTTTGTTGTTTAGGACCTTCTAAAGAACTTTCTGAGAAACCTACTTCATCCAAAACACATTGTGTTTTAGTAAATAAAAAGCAAGTATGTGTCTTTCGATGGAATACCATAAAATCTTACATACAATGTAATTTTTTTTTTATAAAATAAAATTTAACAATTAACTTTGCTGACTTTTCTATCACAGCGTGGAAATCCTTTGCTGAAGTTTATTACCAGTGTTCCCTGGGAATATGATGATATAATTCCAGATTATGAAATAGGCAAGACAATATGTATTCTTTTTCTCTCAGTGCGCTACCACAATTTAAACCCTGATTACATTAATAGCAGATTGAAGGAACTAGGAAAGAAATATGAACTTCGAGTCCTATTAGTACAGGTAACAGATTTTTCATGCATTAGATATGTTTTTAGTATATTTTTGTTGATAACCTTTATTGAAATATTAACATGGTGTTTTGCATATGCACAATAACCAACACTTGGTACAATTAAGTGCATTTGCAAAAATCATATAAACCTCAGCAGATCCTGTGTTAACAGTCTTATATTGAGCTAACTGTTTAATGTTTGAGCAGATGAACCAAAAATGTATTTTATAGTGTTTCTATGTGACAGAGCCATGTTGCAGCTATATTATGGTTGCAGCATGAGTGGGCCGACTTGACCCAGGGAGGACCACACTCTCACAGAATACCAGCATAAAATAGCAGCTCAATTCTGCTGTGTTTCATATGGTGAGTGTAGAGAACCAGAGACCCTTTATACTGGAAATGAGGCATTCCATCATTAGTCCTCAGGGGTGACAACGCATCCGCATTTTGATTCTTAATTGAGGATAAATGTAGATGTCTATGGGCCACAGGATCAACTTACCATCAGGTGGACTATGTGCTTGTTTCTTATCCTTATTCTCTACTAGCTGTGCCCCGCGATTTCACCCGCGTATATCACGTGTCTGAGCTGCACGACATGACAAAAGATCTAGTTCAAGCATTTTAGATAGCAATGTATGGAAAAATTGGCTGAATTAATGGAGTACTTTTATCTATTGGCATATGTATGTTATAGAGCAATGTTCAATTTTATCCTATCTCCCGAATAATAATAATGATTGAATCTCCCGAAAATATGCAATATTTAAGGCTAGCTGCGAATTGTAACCTAATGCTAGATTGCCTATACTATTATTCATGAACCTGGCTATAATATGCAAAACTAATTATTCAAATCGGACTGGTAGTTCCAGAGGCTAGCGTGTTTAAACAAACAAAAACCTTTTCTGCATTATATTAAAGTATAGTATACATATAAAAAATATCAGTTTTATAGGGGGGAGGGGTGTGGGATATTTGTCATAGTTGCCAAGCTTGGCAAGCGGGATGGCAACCGTACTTTTTGTATTTTTAGTTGTTTTCTCTGGTCTCCGATTTCTCTGAGCTGATTTGTGTCCCTCTGTCGCCTCTTTCGACACTCACGGGATGATATGGGGTAGTGGATATTCCTATACCGCCACTACACGGCAATGGCCTCTGCATAAGTTTTATATTGGCGCTCATACGCACTATGCGGTTACGGCTGATCGCAATCAAAAATATATACGCAACATCTATTTCTATGCGCACTGCGATACACGCAAACCGCTTCGGTCGCTCGGAGGGCTGCAGCTTGAATGACGGCCAGCTGGCAGCCGGACGGTTTTAGTCAGTGAATATTTTGCGACTGCCGGCGGGCATTCGTAAAATATATAATAAAATAATGATTGAATGAGATTGTGTGCAGAATAAAATTTTAAAACAAAGGGCATGGGAAGAGTTGGTGCATATTTATCACGGTACGGAAATGAATAGATAAGACCGCAAGTCGCGACGGTTTTTGAACCGCAGGTTGCGGATTCGAATGCGGCTGCCCGCAATCCGGTTGGCCGCACTCCGTGCACTCCGCATCCCGTGGGCAGCCGGACGGCTAGCCGCATTGCGGTTACCCGCGTAGTGCGTATGAGCCATTACGTTGATATCTCATAATCTCCTAAGCAGTGTATAGCTTCCAAAATAGTAAATGCTAGTTTTTGCTGCGATAAATCCAGCTACATCTAAGCAACGTCATCCTTCGTACTCGCGAGACCAGCCTTCACTGATTACTATTTTTCCGTAATTTTGACGATTTGCAACATAGAAAATATGTTGTTCTTATGGAGCAGTATTAAATACCTGCATAGACTTTATAAAGATCCCTAGAGTTTTATTAAAGGTGTAATTGATCCTCGCTAAAGATTGCAGAAATGTATAGACAATGAGGGTATATATATATATATATATATAGTTAGCAATAATTATAACTTTTAACAAAAAGTAAAACCGACTTCAAGTTGCTAAAAAAGAAATTATTTGCTACTGATTATTTAGGGTGGATTTTTTTCCAAATTTAAATTGGGCCACCGTTGAAGTATTTAATAAAATAGAATCATCGAAATGGTTCACCATCTGTGAAGATATCGCGTAACATACGTACAAAAAGAACATACACTCGAATTGAGAACCTTCTGCTTTTTGAAGTGGGATCAATATGTTAAATTTTTCAATATAAAATTGCAAGTTCATACTTTAACCCCTAATGTTAGGGTGACAGACTAACTACCTTACTCTTTGAACCGAAACATAGCTGTGGGTAAGTGGGAGATAGCATAGATGGGCTTATAGCATCCAAAAGGCGCCCTACCACCTAGGATAATAGTATTTAATACATATATTTTTTTATAGAACGGGTGTGACAAAGAGGTAGACAGTCCACCTGGTGATAAGTGGATGCTGTGGCCCATAGACATCTACATTTATCACCCCTGTGGACTACGATGGAATGCCTCGTTTCCAGTAAAAAGGGTCTCTGGTTCTTTACACTCACCATATGATACGAAAGACAGCTACATCCCCGTACGAGCCGACCCATTCGTGCCACAACCATAGTATAGCTGCAGCGTGGCTCTACCACGTATAAAAAGAAGCGATACGCAAGTGTATCCTTCTTTCTATGCTTGAATCCAGGGGTAGTTAGTTTGCCATGATTTAGTCACTTACCATGAGTTAGTCTGTTATCTCATTTGGTATTTTATATTTTTAAGGAATTAAAAAAGACTATATGTGTTGTTGACACGTAAATAAAAAAAAACTACTTTCGAATAAATTCAATGTAGGTAGTAACTACATACGTTTCTTTTTGTCGAATTTCGTAGCTGGAGCGTTTAGATAAGGTTTAAAGATAAAATAGGTACATATAAATAATGATATTAAGAAATATTTTATTCATTACTTAGTTTTCCGGATACAGTCGATGACAGACAAGGTATTCGTTGTTATTGAACACATAGCTGGCGTACATAGTCAGATGTTTTCACTATTTATTAGGCTGGCGACCATAGCTTGGCATATTATGCAAGCAAAGTGCATTGCATTTTAATTGAGAAAAAACAATATCATTTATTTTCATTGGCCTATCACAATTATTCTCGCAAAGTCTATTTTCTCTTATTTTTTTTATAGACCAAGAGCGACAAACGAGAGAAACGTCAGACATCTAACCACAGACACCTACATCTACCTTTAATTAAGAATCAAAATGCAGATGCGTTATCACCTTTGAGAACTATGATGGAATTACTCATAACTATTAAAAAAGGTCTACGGTTCTCAACATTCACGATATGAAACACAGGAGCATCAAGTTTCGCGAACGTGGTTCTTCCCCGGTCGAGCCGATCCTTTCGTCCTACAGCCATAATATAGCCTCAGCATTTCTAGCCAAGTAAAAAATGCATATACAATGCATAATGATTATTTGTTCTCTTTCATCACAGTAGTTACTTGGGTCTCACAGTACCAACATATTTAATTTTATATAGGTTGATTTAAAAGATCCACATGCTGCATTAAAAAACCTTACAAGAGTTTGCCTCTTGACGGATCTGACACTCATGCTGGCTTGGAGTCCCGAAGAGGCTGCCAAAATAATAGAAAATTACAAAATTTTTGAAAATAAGCCACCCGATCGAATTATGGAAAAAATTGAAAACGATCCGCATCAAAAGGTTTGTATAACATTTATTTATTTTGTATTCAAAATAAATGCAAATTTCCAAACATTTCAAGCAAGAGTAGCCTAAAGCTTCTGCCACAGAAGCGGCTTGCGGTGGCGGCCGCGGTGGCAGCCAGTTGTATTCGCTTGTAATGTAAGTGAGTCTGCAGACCCGTGCGGTCATATCGCGGCCTGCGAGCGCCTGGCTGCGGCCGCATGCTCCGCCCACTGCGGCCTCTATCGGTGGCCGGTGGCCGTAGCGCGGGCAGTTGCAAATTTTTACAACAGGCCGCGCGTACCACGTGCAAAATGGCGCTAAATACAGAGATTTTAATAGAAACAGTGCAAAATTATCCAGTACTTTATGATACTTCACACCTTGATTACAAAAGCATTAGGAGTAAAAACAAAATATGATGTAATATTGCTGAATATAATAAGAATAAAACGACACCGTCACGGTAAGCCATGTTGACTGACGTCCGATCATAGCACAGACACCTCAGCGAATGGAGCTTCAGGCCGCCACTGACCACTGCGGCCGCGGTGGTGTGCTGTTGCAGCGGCTGGAGCTACGGCTCGCGGTTAGCCGCCACCGCTAGCCGCTTGTGTGTGGGAGACGCTTCATGCTTAAGAATACGAACCGCGAAACTAAGAATTTGTCTTTCTACTTTTGCCGTGAAGCACTCGGATTATACGTAGGTAAAGAGTTTTTATCCATGGCAGGCGTTCCGGTCTTTAGTATCTATGGGAGTTCCTCAAGGCTCAATTCTTGGCTCCTTCCTGTTCTTAGTCTATAGTAATGACTTGCTTTACGTACCTAATAAGGAATAACCATGATAATCCTTTTGTTTGATGATTCGTCTACTTTATTAAAATACTACGAAGAGAATAATCTAATGCTATATTAAAACAAATTTTAAACTCATGTATACCATTGTTCTTTTAAATGGGGGAAACCATCTTGTTTCCGGAATTCGCGATTGACGTAAAGCTTCAGTGGATGCCCCCTTATATCTAAACTAGGTTGCAGGTTTAGCTTGAAACAAGTAGAGTATTATCTGCAGTATATTATGTTGTAAAAAGATTAGATGTTACTTGGGTTAAAATAACTAGATTAGTTTATTTTAGTTCATTTCACTATTATCGTATAGAATCTTGCTATGGGGAAACGAGATGGACAATAATAGCAATTTACGACCTAAATCCGATGGAATCTCTTAGGGAAAAATATAAAGAAATAAATAAATAATTCTTGGCCTCAGTATATTTACTAAAATGTAATATTTACAAAATAGTTTTATTAAAAATAGTGATAGTGATGTACTTTACTTTTGTAAGCAAAAGTTTGTATTATCAGACTACTCGACTCTTTAAGATTCAGTAATTCCTTCATGGGGCAATACGTGCTTATATAACTAAGTCTCAGGCAGGACAATAAAAGAATATTATTGATAAGAACATCTGCACACTAGGTGATCACTACCATAATCTTTCTAAAAATGTCTTTATATTTATTGTAGTTTCGAACGCTTTACAGCACCCACCCTGATCTTCTCTCTCGAAATTAGGATGATTTAAATCGTTTCGCGAATTATCCTTGGACTTGGATTATCCTGAACCTGTTTACATCCCGAAGACTTCTCGGATCGTCGGCGATTCACGTCAGCTATGCGTTCTTTTACGCGGATTTTTATCGATCTTTATCGAGAATAAATAGATAGCAGCTTCCATCCACCATCTGCTACGTATATGTTCTATTAATTATTGAGATCTGTTTACTATGTTTTAATAAAATAATGGTTAGTAGTCAATATATTAAAATTATCCCATGTCATAATCTTAGTCCCAAACTTTTACTTATATTCACCCAGATTGGTTAAACATTATTACAATTTAAAGCTGTATATAATACATTTCAGATAATAAACGCTTTGTCATCAATAAAACCGGTGAACAAGACGGATGCGATGACATTAATAACAACATTTGGAACTTTGGAAAACATCATAAAAGCAACTGAAAGCAGACTCGCCGACTGCCCAGGCTTTGGGCTTACGAAGGCGAAAAAGTTATACAAGGCGTTACATGAACCGTTTCTAAAAAGAGGTCACACCAAAGATGCTAAGCAATCCGAAGAATTTGCGGAGGAAGTTAGTATAGAAGAAATCGAAAAAGTAGAAAATGAAATCGTAAATCAATAGCATAATAGTATTTTTATATGGTATTATATATAGTATAGTAGTGTATCAGGATCGCTCCAAATGAATATTGGTAGTCTCTGTCTACCCCTGTGGGTGATAGGCGTGAGAGTATGTATGTAATAACATTTATTTTAAGCGTCTTTAACATAATATCTTGTACTTAATACTTGTATAAGTTTTATTTGGGTTTTTAACATTAGGAAATTAATTAATGAAATAAATCTGTGATAATTATGTAAGTTTGTATCTTATTTTATCATAAAAGCGACATACCTCACAAGTAGCAAACTAAAAGATAAAAAATTACTTAGATATTCTTTTTTAAATCTTCATCTTGATTCAGGTAATTAGTTTTTAAAATTAATGAAGGACTCCATATAAATTGTAAAAACTTCTGAAAATATATTTTTAAATAAAAATAATAAGGCATGCGCCTTTAAGAATACTCAACTGTAGTAGATTACAATTTTTAGTTTATTGGGAAATATTTGAATTCACCCCCTTTGGGTGTTATATATTTGTAAGTTAAGCTAGTTAATTGTAAGCATAAAATTGTAGATAGTGGATGTTAAGGCTCAAAACGGTAGAAAAAAAATACTGTTGTGATGTAGACATTGCTAGAAATGTTGACTTTAGTTATACTGTAGAAATTCCTACCGTTCCCTGTCAACATATAGAATAATCATTTATTTTCATAGAAGAGAAAGCAAATGAGCACTCAGCCCACCTGATGACTATCGCTGCCAATGCGAAGATTAAACTGCACAATGCGGTGATGAATGGCGGGAAATTTCTAGTGAAACGCATGGTGGTACCAGCCATCAAGGTGATGTAGATTGAATTTAAAGCTGGGCCGCAGAGTACACTGGATATGTTTGGCTGCTGGAATGAAACTTGTAGACCATATAAATACTAAACATGTGCGGGAATCGCACCTGAGATTTGCTAGGGCCAAACTAAGAGTCAATAAACGTGTGGCGTAGCGGAGCGTTTGCCATACATTTGACTGGTCGCCACTGGTAACACTGTCATAGAAGAGCGTAAAATTGTCATGCACGCAGAAAGTACCCAGTCGAACGCTCTCTTCCGAGCGTTCTAATTGCCTTCATGATCATGTTTAATATTAAATTCAAAAATGAGAGTTTCGGGGCAGAAGACATTGCTTACAGATCTATGTGAACGCGTTCTTTTTTAAAATTAAGACAGCGACTTGTCTGTCTAATTATGGATGGAACACGCAGACTGGTACATTTTTGTACTTAGTTTGTCGTATAACTTCACACTTTTGCCTTTTGCATAATTTTGCTAAGATGGTATATCTTATTATATATTTACCACATAAGAGTTTTGTCAAACACGGCAAGATAAATGCGATTTTTATGTATTTCCAAAATTGAAATGAGTTATGAGTGATGAGACGTTTGAATTAAATGAAATAGAAATTCCGAAAGAAGAGGAAATAGAGAGAGATATAAGTAAAGATGAAATAATGAAAGCAATGAAAAGTATGAAAGCAGGTAAGGCAGCCGGATATGATAGAGTATCTCTCGAAATGCTAAGGGCTGGAGAAGGAGTGGTGGCAGACCTGCTGTACATCTTGTTTAATTTATGTTGGGAACTTAAGCGGGTACCGGGAGACTGGTGCAAAGCCGTAATAGTCCCAATATATAAAGGAAAAGGATCACAGCAGGACTGTAAAAACTACCGTTGTATCACCCTTCTTAGCATTGTGGGAAAACTGTATGCTAAGGTACTAATTGAAAGAGTTATGAAAGAAACTGATGGAAAAATTTGGGATGTGCAAGCGGGATTTAGAAAGGGAATGAGATGTACGGATCAGGTCTTTTCCATGCGCATGATCGCCGAGAAGTTTTTGGCCAAAAACGAAAAAGTTTTTTGTGCGTTCATGGACTTGGAGAAGGCTTATGACAGAGTGGATAGGGATGTGTTATGGCAAACACTGAACTCATTTGGGTTGAGCGCTGGGTTGATACAGGCATTGAAGTCTCTGTATAGGGACCCTAGTGCTTGTGTCAGGATCAACGGGGCCTACTCGGACTGGCATCCATAAAGGTGTCAGACAGGGCTGTGTGGCTTCCCCGTGGTTGTTCAACCTATTTATGGACAGTTGTTTGGAAATTTTGAAAGTAGAAGAATGCGGGTTAAGAATGGGTGAGTTAACCGTCAAATGCCGTTTGTACGCCGATGATCAAGTCATACTTGCGTCGTCGGCGGCCGAGTTGCAAATGAGGGTTACATTAATGAACAGGACATTAAAATAAACGGGAATGAAAGTGAACGCAAGTAAGACGAAAGTTATGGTTTTTGAAAGAGAAGAAAGTAATACGATATGTGAAATAAGAATAGAAGTTATAGTTATAATAGTTATAGTATTATTTGCAGATGACACTTCTTTAATTTTCAAATTAAGTCGACAGTTACTAAAATATGACGAAGTAAATAATGCTATCTCTAAATTAGTAAATTGGTTCGATGTTAATAATTTGCATTTAAATGGCACTAAAACAAAATGTATGAAATTCGTGACTCCAAATGTCAAACAATTAAATACTAATGTAATTTTAAATGGGGAGAAACTGAGTCTTGTAGATACCACCATTTTTTTTGGAATCACACTAGACGCGAAGCTTCAATGGAGCCCCCATATATCAAAACTAGCAAGCAGACTTAGTTCTGCAGCATATGCTGTAAAAAAGATTAGAAGTTTAACCAGTGTTGAAACAGCTAGACTAGTTTACTTCAGCTACTTCCATAGCATAATGTCGTATGGTATTTTGCTATGGGGACACGCAGCTGACACTGAAATTATATTTGTTTTGCAGAAGAGGGCCATAAGAGCAATTTATGATTTAAAGCCTAAAGAGTCGCTGCGACAAAAATTTAAGGAAATTAATATATTAACTTTGGCCTCTCAATACATTTATGAAAATGTAATGTACGTACACAAAAATAAAAGTAGTTTTACAAAAATCAGTGATATTCATTCTGTAAATACTAGGAACAGACACAAGCTACTCGTAGTAGTACCAGTTACTCGACTCCATCGAGTCAGTAATTCATTCTTGGGGCGATGTATACGCTTTTACAACAAAATTCCAGAAAATATACAAAGTTTGACCTGTTCAAAGTTCAAAAACTTTATTAAACTAAGTTTGTATAAAAAGGGTTATTATAATATTAAGGAATTTATGGATGATAATAACCCCTGGAAATGAGGTGATCGCTGCCAAGCTATTTCTGATTTGTTGTGTTGTTAATTTGTGTTACATCATGATTGTAAGCTGTTATTTAAAAAAAAAGTCCCGCTGGGTTTCTTGCTGGTTCTTCCCAGGACAGAGGTTTTTTCCGAACCAGTGGTAGTCAAACAAAAGAGTGACTTTCAATAAGTATTATTTATAATCTATATTGAATAAAAAAGTTTCTGTTTCTGAAGGAGAGTTGGTCGAGCAAGTAGATGAGTTTGTGTATTTGGGATGTGTGTTTAGCAGGGATGGTAGATATGATAAGGATATAGAACTACGAGTGAATGCATTATTTTTATATTTGTGAAAAGTCAGAATGTGTCCAAACAGGCACGTATGGCAATTCACAATGCTGTGTTTGTACCTACTTTAATGTATGGTAGTGAAAGTTGGGTGTGGCAGAAGAAGCACGAGAGTAGAATAAATGCTATAGAAATGCGGTCATTAAGGAGTATGTTAGGGATGAATCTGAATGACAGAGTGAGAAATTGTTTGATAAGAGAAGAGTGTGGTTTGCAAGATGATGTTGTGACCAGGATTAAGAAAGGAATGCTTCGGTGGTTTGGTCATGTAGAAATAATGAATGAGGAAAGAGTGATAAAGCAAATTTATGTTGCAGAGGTGAACGGCAGAGTCGGGAAGGGTCGCCCTAGGCGAAAGTTTATCGACCAAATTGGCGATATATGGAAAGTGGGCCAAATCAAGAGTACCTTTAACCGACGAGCGTGTATGCGTAGGTATATGGATGTGGAGGAAGCGAGAGAGGTGTGTCAGGATCGTGCAAAATGGAAGTCCATAGTCTTTGCCTACTCCTCTGGCTAACAGGCGTGTGTGTATATATAAAATTCGAAATCAAAATGACCGCGATCTGGTTAATGGTTTAAATACATTATAACTGCGTCCAGTAAGACGTGTGCGTTTCAGCTCTAATTAATGAAACTGTATGAGATGATCATATCATTGGCGTGTCAACTTCAGTCATTTAATTGCAGCATATCAAGGCCACTGCTGACCATAGGACTCCCCCTTGGATTGCATCTATGAGGTGGATATTTGCCATAGTTGACAGGCGGGTTGGAAACCGCACTTTTTTTAGGGTGTAGTTGTTATCAGGAAGATGCTGCCCACCTCCTATTTCAGATTCCCTTCGTCGGTTCTTACGATACCTACGGGGTGATTGGGGAAGTGGATTCTCTTAATCTGCCACACGCTTGAAAAATAATATTTCATTATCATTATACCTCGAATAAAGTGCAACTCGTAGAAATAGATTTGACTTTTGAAACATTTTCCGTCATTTATTATTTAGTTATTTGTAAGGATCATGAGATTTTCTGGCATTTCCTTCGGTATAGTCATGACACCTACAGGTGAGATGGTTGAATATTTTATGTCGTCGAATAAGTTATAACAGAACTTTATAAACAGTAGGTAACGTTCTATTCAATCCTCACGGGAGCTTGTTTTGAAATATTTTTTTTAACGGAACGTTTCTTAAGCATGCAAAGGCGAAGGCCCGTGCGTTCGTTGCAACGACTCGGCCGCTTGTCGGGTTCAAAATAAAACAATCAACAGCTCTGAACCGGCTTCGCTGGCGATAGGACGCGCATTACTATAGCTCTATAAGAAAGCGGGAAATTTGAACTGTATTAGACGTTAGTGATTTGTTTAAGTGAAATATTTACTTTGAATTTGTATTATTAAGTGTTTGATGCAGGTTTTAAAACTATTATTATT